GTCTATAACATCTTGGTCACATATAACCTAAGTGTATCCACTCAGTAACTATAGACCTACTAGAAAGGGCCATTTTTAGTTTTCACATAAGCAATTAGCATAATAAAATACTCCTATAGTATTTTAACTTTATGTTATGTTCTATTTTTTCCTTGTAGAAGAGTTGGTAAGTTTTTAGACTTGTTGCAACACCACAACCATTCCTAGGCATATGCTAATCACTTCTCATATATCCCAAACCTGATGTTATATCCCTAAGCCTATTTGTGATGTTCAACAATCATAATACTTTTGTTCTATTCTAGTATGACACTTATCTTAGTATGAATGCGTGTATGTATACTTTTGTAAAATATTTTATCATTTAAAAAGTATAACTCATTGTCAGAGTGTATTAATCCCAATGTTTTTATAGTTGTATATCTTTTATGAATTGATATACTTAGTTCACTATAAACAATGCTCTGATACCAATCTATCACGTCCCAAAACCGAGATGACGGAAGCATTCGGGGGTGGAGGACATCATGTACACTATCATAACAATGCACAATAGTAAAACAAGCAACAACATCCATTGCATTAATAAAATAGTTAAATGCAGGTGTGTTCTTTGTAAAGCAGTATGACACAAAATATGTAAAGCAAAATAAAGGAAGAGTCTGAACATGCTCCATCTTCTCAAAAACCTACTCATGTACCTGTTTACTAGTTTCCTGAGAATACAAGTTGTTTTGAAAGAGATTATCAATATTTAAGTTGGTGGGTACATAAGTATTTTAGTGTCAAGTGTTTGCATTAGTTTTAAGAAAATGTTTGTACCTGACTAGTGAAAATTTTTGTATCTTTCCTAGAAAATCTTATATTTTATGCATTAAATGAAAAGTAGTCTTCTACCAAGACTCAACTGTTTGTATGATCTATTTTATTGAAAATTGTGTAAAATGTATGTTTGTACTTGAACTAGTATAAATGTATGTTTTCCATATTTGTAAAACTATCTTTACTCGAAAATAGTATGCATTTCTCATGTGAGAATATCAATGTATGAATGTAATGGAAAAATGAAGATTTACAGTAGTATGGTATAAACTACACTACTGATGCATTAACTACCTTGAAAACCAACTAATTAATTAAGGTTAAAATGTGATTAGGTTTAACCATGCTTAATAGACTAGTATTAAACATGATGTTCTTCAGGCGTCGAAAATGATATGACATTTGTCACCCATAGACCTGCAGGTCCCACAGTAGCTAGCAGCAACGTGTGGGATGCTCAATTCCGTATAGATCTATACAAAAACTCACGCTCTCCCTGTAGGAGGCTCTGGTTACAAAATGTGACATATCATGAGTATTGCTATGCCATGAAATAGTATCTCACATTTTAGTCATCTTGTTCTTGTTATAGTATGTAAGTTCCTTCTTGTTTTTGTAAATGAATAGTATGCTTTGTAATGAATAGTAATAGTATGTATGTATTGACTTATGTATTGTTTCCGTATTCTAGCAATAGTATGTAGTGATCCTCTAAACTATACCTATTATAGTTTACTAGTATGTTTGTTTGAACTATTACTTATTCGCAGAAAAGACTCAGTTGCCCAACATATGTAACTGAGTTAAGTGTATTTCCTGAAAATGAGGTTTAATATTCAAGCATATATTTTGAAAGTATAACTATGATTCAACCGACCGTTGGACAAGTGATCCTACCCTAACCCCACAACCAAAAAAGGAACAAGATTTACGGTATTTAGAATCAGTCTTAAGTCTGTTACAACATACTTATACATAAATATGTACACAAATATGGTTTTTGATGTAACAGAAATCTAAAAATAGTTTAAAAGAGTTTTTAAAGTGATTTTAACAAAATTTCAATAGGAGATATCCTTTTTGTTTTTTTGTTTCCACATGTAAATGAATAACACAAATATATTGTTTTCTACTTGTATTCCTCCCCTAAAGCATTTAAAAGAGTAAATTGTAGGGGCATGAACTCACTTTTTGGGAGTGATTCAATAGAGGGTTTGATATAGGATGATTGTTTCCACCAGCTAGTTCCCAGGACAAAACAAGTCCTAAATAGCAATCCACGCTATATAAAGGCATGAAATTAGTGAATATAACCTCTAAGGCATTAAGGAAGAACCTAGGATGTAGGAATTACTTACAAAAGAAGATTTATAACCAAAATTAAGTGGCTACTTGGTGTTTACGGCCAACCTTCGGTGTTCACGACCGCAAAGGGTTTTCGGCCCTTGAAAATTCAAGTGAACCAAACATAAACAATTAAAATACTATAGGAGTATTTCAGGATAACATATCCCCTTCACCCATACACTTTCTATACGCTTCTCACACCTCCACTTTCTATGCAAACATCATGGCTAAGAACCAGCAATGTGACCTCTATTATCATGCCTTAGTGGCTAATGGATGGGTTGAAGAAGAACTGGAAATGGTTCAAGAAGAGAATCCAGAAGCAAGACTCAAAGAGTATGTGGTAATGGACTATGAGAATGGAAAATCTAACAAGAAGTCAGATAAAGGAGAAGACATTAAAGAAACCACTAGTGAACCCCACCCTTCGGAGACCCGATCGGACTGGCACACAGTGCAGGAGAGCACTACCTACCATATATGTTCTCTCGAAATAGAAGTAGCCAACCTTAAGCAACAACTATTTGCGGCCGAAGCTAGGTCAGCTCGAGCAAGACAGAGGGAAGATGTGATCACTCAAGAGGCGAACAAATTGGCCAAAATTTTGGTGTTTCAGTTTGACATTTGAGTATCACCATCACTATCGATATGACTCTCTTTTCAATTACCGTTGTATGTAGGGTTATCCCCTCAATTAAGTGATTACATTACTTGAGAAAGGGGGGGTGTTATCTGCTTTGCAAAGTTGTTATCTGCTATGCCGTTTGTCAATTGTGTCATGTACTAAACCTTTACGAAGTAATGAATCAAATGTGTGTCTGATTTGCAATGGTGTTATCTGCTCTGTGTTCTATCCTTATCATTTTGTAATATTATATGAGTTCATTACTTTACACAAAGGAACCACCGAAACTGCTAGATACTCAAGGATCCCGAAACCAAAATAACCTATTTGGATAGATTTAGCATTCTTGCAGAATCTACTACTACTTATTGTAACAACCCGAAGTTTTCCATCGTCGAAAATTTGTTCTACCCGTGAGATTTCGCCATTAGTCAATTCGTTTCGTTCTCGTTTTGGGTTAAACTAATTAAACTTATATGTTTATTATAACTGAATAAGTGTCCAAACCCCTTAGGAACTCATGAAATTAACCCAAAAGTGTTTATTTCAAAAAGTTAGAAACATTCCCGCCGGGTGATGGTAACTTAATCGGGTGCGACCAAAAGCCGCGTTTAATGCCGGTATCGGGTAGAATTCCACCGTGTCCAAAACTTAGACACTATTTAAAGTGATCTAAGCACTCATTTGAAGCTTTTTCTTCCTCTCTCTACTCTCTCTCTAACCTCTCTCCAAAAATCCAAGTTTAAGGGTCCAAATCATCAATTTTAGGCTTCAAATCTTTGAGGTACTTCCCCTAGCTTCTTATGTAACATCCCTAGCCTTCAAATTTGAGTTCAAAGCATGGATTAGGACCATATTCATGAGTTTACAGACATGGAACCATCCTAGTCCGTAAACTCATATATCATGGGTTTTGGAGCACAAAAACCCTTCGTAAGCACAATTGGACCTTAGATATGGCTAGATGGTATCATGGAATGGACTTGTAACAATTTAAACATGAATTTTGAGTCATTTGGAGGAGTTTACAGCCAAGGAACAAGCTTGGGCCGTAAACTCATGTAAATGGGGTTTTCATGACCTTAAACCCTTCCAAATCACAAACAAGACTTAGATATGACTTGTAGAATATTGGTAATGGACCTAGAACACCTTGAACATAAATTTTGAGGAGTTTGTGTGAGTTTATGGCCAAGGCATGTGCTTGGGCCGTAAACTCCTTAAACTTGGGTGTAAACTCACTTCTAAGGTGTTAGAAAGCCATCCAACACCACCAAAAGCCTTGGAATAAATCATAGGACCAACCAAAAATAGTTTAAGGACCTTAAACACATCAAAACCCCACAATTGATAGTTTACGGCCATAGAACATGTCTCATGGCCGTAAACTCCTAAAAGAGTGTCAATTGGTGCCCCAAACTCATTTCTAGGCTTGTGAGAATTTTTAGAATCACATGTGATTAATTTCAAGACCTTAAAAACACTTAATCAAGGGGATATGAGAGTTTACGGCCAAAGACCCCATGCTTAGGCCGTAAACTCCCTTGAGTGTTGCAAATGGTGATTTTAATCCATTCCAAGCCTTAGGTAAAATCATTCCAAGCATTTCCAAGTGTCCATATCCATTTGTGACCCAATTTGAACCATAAATCACCCCACCATGAGTTTACGGCCGTAAACTCATGGGGAGTGGGTGTTTAGGCCGAAAACTCCATTAAGGAGTTTACTCTAGGGGAGTAAACTCATTTCCCAAGTCCCTCGCATCGTTACACGTCCTTAAACGCCACCCGGGTCCCTCCAAACGCTTGTAATGAAGCGTTTTCACGATTAGAAGCATATGTCCCTAACAAATAAATAATTTAAGTCCTAATTAGATGCAAATGTGTATCATTTGATAATCCATAGGAATCTTATGTGTTTCCAAACCCAGAACCGACGTTTAGAATCCAAACTGACGCGTTCTCCAATCGGTGAGTTCATACCCCTACCCTTTTTCAACTGTTTTCACTGTTTTCAGGGGGGGGGGGGGGGGAATACAAGCAAAAGTACAAGGAAATCTTATACTCAAATTTATTGCTTACAGTTTAATCATTTTCATTCTGTATGTTTTAATATCAATAACTATGTTTATCAAATAGTTCGAATTTCGAATTTAGCTTTCAAACTAATCATAGATTTCTTGATAAAATGTTCTAATCTAAACTATGTTTCATAATCTACGAATAATTTATACTAATGTCCAATTATAACTAATTCGAATACGAATACGAATACGAAACTATAACTAGGAATAAAACGAATACGAAACTATAACTAGGAATAGAACGAATACGAAACTATAACTAGGAATAAAACGAATACGAAGCTATAGCTAGGAATAGAAGGAATACAAAGCTACAACTAGGAATAGAACGAATACAGAAGTATAACTAGAAATGGAACAAATATGAATACTAAAATAATAATACGAATATGAATATGAATATGAATAGGAATATGAATACGAATACGAATACTATTAGGATTAGGAGTAGGGATACGAATACGAATATGAACGGGACTACAAATATAACTACGAATACAAATATAAATTAAAAACTATGAATACAATAAAGAATAGGAATATGAATACGAAGACACGTATCTAGGTACACCCCAGTGTAATACCTTTAAGATATTAGAATACCTAGTTAATACAATAAGTACGAATGGTAATTAATCATTACATCGAAATCCAATAACTAAACTTACTTTTAGGAAAATATAGGATTTTCCTAGGATCATAGTTAATCATAGCCAGGACCGTGTAACCTAAAACAGTTAACTAAACATTTCTTTTAAGAAAATATGGGATTTTCTTGGATACCAAACTTTTCGGAAGAATCAAGGGAAACTCGTACATTTTTCACAAAACAAACATCTTATGAACTCACTAGCTTTATGCTGATTTTCAAACCGCTTGTATTCTCAGGTCCAAGTTAGACAGGTACCTGGTGATCTCTTTTGGTGAAGACGGAGTGCGTGGAAGACTCGTCTCGTTTTGTTCATATGATATATGTATAACTTTTGTATAATTTACTTTTGAAACAAATGTAAACTTTCATATATATGCAATGTAATGGTTGTTTACTGTGATTACTATGTACATTGGATTTGATACACAACGTGGAGTCCACCCCGGAAATGATTCCGCCTTTGATTTTCGGGGTATGACACTTATCACCATAATTAGTAGTAGATATGTAGGTTGAGACAATGAGAATCATACAACAAAACATGAAATGATTGTCGTTACTTACGAGCTTGCTTATCATCGTGCCGCAAAAAAATGTCATCCTACAGAAATAACCAACACCACAATAATACATCAATCCTACAGATAGATTCCGCTACATTCCAAGTTGCCGTAATAGATGCTGTAACCGCTGTCATGGCGCAACTTAACGTAAAAAAAAACACCAATAGAGATAGAACCAATATCAACAATTCTTGTCGTAGTAACAACCACGGAAACCAACAAGTGATAACTTACCAAGGCAATCCAAACCCCAAACTTAAGAGCAGGAAGAAAAAGTTTGGGAGTAAGAAAAAGGGATAGCCAACTCAAAGGCCATCGAAGAAACAACGTAAGGTTGCTAACCATGCTGCCATGACACCTACCACAATAACACCGGCAAGACCATATGCTGGAAACCTCCCAAAATGCAACAAGTGCAGCTTCCATAAAAATGGAGCTTGCCGGGAGTTGCATTGCAATATGTGCAACAAGAAAGGGCACACCGCTCGTTCCTATAGGACTCCGGTTCAATGCATCACTCCAACCTCTATAGTTAAAATAAAGCATGTATGCTACAAATACGATAAGATAGGACATTTTAAGAAGAGTTGTCCAACGGAGAGTAATGATGGGAAAGCGGGAGGAATTTAAAAATTGGACCTGAAGAAAACAAAACGGAACCCTACCCGAATTTTTGGTACATTCTCAAACAGCAATATTGGAGCCTCAAATTTTTACCAAATCATTGTCAAGAAAATTAAGAATCACAAAAGATATATACCTAGGGTCCACTCTCACGTTAAATAATCATTTATTCCCAATCAACATTGATGTGATTATAGGCATGGATTGGTTAAGCCCCATACCATGCCGACATTATATGCCATGATAAGGCCGTTCGCCTTCACCTCCCCGACCATGAAACCCTAATAATCTATAGTGATAAACTTGGCGCCAATCTCCATTTTATCTCGTACATTAAGGCACAAAAATGCCTGCACATGAAAAATTATGCCTTCCTCGCGCACATTATGGATAAGTCAAAAGAAGAGATAAACATCAAGGATGCTCCGGTGCCATGCGACTTTTCGGATGTCGTTCCTGATGACCTTCTGGGAATACCCCCAGAAAGACAGGTTGAATTTCGAATTGACCTAATGTTGGGAGCCACATCAATTACCAAATCACCCCTACAGGTTAGCTTCCATCGAAATGCTGGTGTTATTCACCCAATTAAGCGAACTTCTGAACAAAGTATTCATCAGGCCAAGCTTCTCACCTTGGAGAGCTCCGATCTTGTTTGTCGAGAAGAAAGAAGAACCTTCAGAATGCATCAACTATTGGGAGTTGAACAAACTCACCATCAAAAACCGATACCCACTTCTACGAATTGATGATATATTTGACCAGCTTCAAGGAGCTAGTTATTTCTCTAAAATAGATCTAATATCTGGTTATCATCAGCTCCGAGTCCGAGAAGAAGATATCCCCCAAAACTACTTTTCGAACTCGATATGGTTATTTCAAATTCGTTGTTATTCCTTACAGTCTAAAGATTGTCCCCGTAGTATTCATGGACCTCATGAACCAAGTTTTCCGCCTATTCCTAGTCAACTCGAAACAAGAATGAAAACAGTTAACACCTACGACAGGCTTTGGAGGCATCGAAGACGGAGAATGCCATGAAGGAAGCACTGCATGGAACAGATAAAAATCTCGAAGTCAA